TCTGTCACCTTTCTTGTAAATCGGTATGATCACCGATTCACACCATTCAGTTGGAACCTCTTCCTTTTCCCACATTGAGCCCAGGAGTTTTGTTAACTCCAAAACCAAGGCTGAGCCTCCATCCTTAAAAACGGATGGGGACAGCCCGTCGGGGCCGGAAGCCTTATGCCGTTTGAGGTAACTTATTTCCCGGGCAACCTCCATTTCAGATGGAGGACTAATGTCAACTGGCAGTATTTTTACATAGGCAGCCTCCAGGGAGCTCATTCGTCAATTTATAGTTGTGTATTCATTCCGGGGACCCACGCATATCTCTTAGTTGGACAGTTGTTCTTCATAGATTTTGGACCGTGCAATAGATCTCTTCCGTCTTCTTCCGCTTTCTTCGTATGTCGAAGATTTTAGACCTCATTTGCCCTCAACCTGGGTTGTCCCGACTATTGTACGGTGAGCCGGAATGTGGCCGCTGATGCACTATTCCTCAGCTTCTTAGGTGGTAGAGATCAAATTGGAGGAGGACGCCACAACTAGCCCGACACTCTATCGGAAACCCCCTACATTCTTGTATTGTTCAGTGGAGTCGGCACGTAAGCCAGGTTGTTTCCCTTTGTTGTAACGCTCAGCTGAACGAAACGGCTGGATTACACGAGCCCCGACCAGTAACGGTGGAGACCCACGAACAGAACCGTGCGATCCAGCGATAGAATAGTGATTCCATATGCCCGACTGCGGTACCCGAAAGAGACACGACCGGACAGTAACTATACGAGCGACCCACAAGCCAATACGATCCCCGGAACCCGACCAGGAAGAAGAAGGAAGGAAGGCCTTCAGGCGAATTTGTATATTTGGCTCGACCAAAAAGGCGGAGAAAACGGGCAGCTCGTCATTTTATATACAATTTGGGTACCGGCCATCAAAGACCTTGGAAATTAGCTTGAAAGTGGTGAGCCACAGAAAAATGGACTAATGAGGGTCGAGAATGGCCGGTGGTGCGGAATGAGTCTTTCCAGGCGAGAAAATCCGGAAATTTATATTTAATAAAAATAATTAGAACAGTAGGAAAAAATAGGGAGAAATAGTCAATTTTAGAGTGAAAATTAAGGTCTATATATCACCCTTTCAGTTTAAAACCATAGGTCGTTTATCCTAGGTTTAGTTTTCATGCTTCTTGACTAGCATTTATAAGATCACTCTATTCAGATAGGTTTCATACTCAGTACATTTACCCATTCCTATCTTTTCTTGATGCTCTCCTTTTTTCTGTCCGAATGTCCAATATTTATGAGTTCTAACAAAAGTAAAACTACAACCTAGTGTGTCCTGAGTCGGCTGATTGAACTAAGGGTTGTGCTTAATTATTACATCAGACGAAATGGTTATTCCAACTAAATATCATTTATGCCACATTATTGCTTACCAGTAGCTGTGAGTTAAATCTGAATCATTCTTTTTTCCTTCGTTGTTTCTGTTGCATTTCTGCCCGTCATCTTCGCACCGTATATGGTGCGTGCTTGTAGAAACTACGTCAGAAAGGTAAAAGCGCACACGATCTGCTCTCAGATCCACGTCTCAGCGCGGTCCCCGTCAGTTTGGATTCAAATGAAGGTTNTGGGATCGAGTGAAACGGACGCAGAACGACGGCGGCGTCGTGAGCTGGCCAAAAATGATGATGATGATGATGATCCGGAAACTGCGAAAGCCAAACGAATGTATGTTTTTTTTCCAGATCACTTTTATATATATTCCAAATGAGTTCCAAATACTTCCAACCCTTGTGCATAGGTTTGTGGTTCTATGCTGCAACTTATCATCTCACAATTACGCACGTGTCCATTACCAGTTAGGATCTACAAACGCACATCAATCGAAAGTGCTTGTACATTGTTTGTAACATAAAAAATTCCTCTGACTTCGTGGATTATTCTGATGAAGCTTTGGTGATTAGATCACCAATAGCTGTGTTAAGATGATTAATCCTTGTGTTTCGCAGCTGAATATGTTTGTCATTAGAAAGAGCAAATTGAAAGATGGCCGACGTGTTTTGTGCTGTATTGGAAACCAATCTTCAGTGTTTGCAACTCTTACAACTGCTGCACTTACGGATTTTCGATTGTCCGAGACACTGTCGGCTAAAACGGATTAAATTGGCACCCACAAATACAGCTATCAAATGCTTCAATCAGTAGACAGTATTTTTTGTTTTTGTAGAACGTCGCTTCTCGCTGGGTAAGCCCGTTTGGGACCCGAATTTTGGATCGAGGAAACAAGGATTTATTTCACCCATATTCAAAGGTGGTTGTCGTAGTGACCCCGCTAACTAAGGACCTGTAACCCTCCTTCCAGTGTTACCGAAAGTTATGGAGTCAATTGTTCAAATTGCAGTTTGTCACATGGAAGTCTTCTGTTGAAATCATGAAAATTTCAGTAGCCTCGGTGGGATTCCAACCCAGGCATGGATACCGCCTACGCTTTTGTGCAGCGAATGCCCTACCAACTGAGCAACAAGACCACACCGATATCACATTGTAGGCGGCGTCCATGCGTGGGTTCTAATCCTGTCGAGGCTACTGAAATTTTCAGGATTTCAACAAAAGACTTCAATAGGCCAAACTACAATTTGAACAATCAGCCTTGCTTTGGAAGTTCATCCGGGGAATCCTAAGGGAAACCTGTCGTAGCAGTCAGCTTACATGCTACCTGGTGAATGCCATATGCCTCGATAATTTGGATGAGTTATTTGAATGTGAAATGATCAATTCTTTCCGTGTGGTCTCGTAGCTCAGCCGGTGGAGTCAACTGCGGCAGGTTCCCTAAGGAAAAGATACAACATTATTTCGCCTACTCAAAATGGGTTCCGGCACAAACGTTTCTGTTCCACCAACTTGATTCTTGTTCGAGAGGAATGAGCCCAGAGCAGTGGACGAATGGGACGCGGTGGGTGTGATTTATCTGGACTTCTGGAAAGAATTTGATCGGTTTAACTACCCAATTTTGTTGCAGAAGCTCTACGACTACGGCATTTGAGGTTTCGTGCATGGTTGAATTTGAGCATTTCTCCGATAACGGGCCATACCAAGTTGTGTTTCTGATTCCCTGTTCGGCTCCATCGACGGTACGTGCGGTGTTCCACAAGAGTTTGTACTTTTCAATGTTTCTAAGTGCAAATTCTTATCCCTACGCGATAGTAGTAGATTGTGGTATTTCTTCGGAAATCACCAGCTGCTACATACCACAAGTGAGAAGACTTCAACTGCACGATCAGTTGCACCTGGGCTTTGTCCGCTGCTGTGTACAATGTCCATTTGTTTAAGCCCATCTGGTTGGTTTGATTCAGCATTGTTCCCACTTTTGCCATCTGTGTGGTTTCGACCGTACACAGAGTGCGCCAACACGCCTAGCGCCCAT